ACGTGAGTTGGCTGACTGAAATGCAACTTGTCACACTGTGGTAATGCATGGTGAAATGATGCGTCTCGTTTCAAACCTAAACTTAATGCACTCAGTTTGACATTACATTTTTTTCTATTATATTGTCAGCAGGGAGACAGTGTGTTTAGCTGTTCATTTGTCCATTATTGACTCACACAGATGCAGCACATGGAGACGATGGCGAAGGATCCCAGGATTCCTGCTGTGCCAACGATCCAGGTGAGACGCAGAAAGAGAATCACACCCAGAATGTTCTGCATGCATGGCAGGTAAACTCCAATGAAGGTTCCCATTTGGGGGACCTGTGGATGGGTAAACACACACACAGGAGAGTCAACAGGGTAGATGAGAGGGAAGGAGAGGAGGGGAGAATTACAATGTAACTGTCAATATGTATATATATATCTGATACACCTTTATCATTGATTGTCCTGTTGTGCTCTGCAGAAAGTGTGCTAATGCAAGTCACACATTTTTTTGCAGACCACTAGTTTTACAGAACAAATACAGCCTTCAAATAAGTATAAACAGGGCAGTGTTAAAGCACAGAGGGTTAAAAACAACTCTAGCACGATTGGAGCTTTTCTTTATTTCCTTCATATTACTACTAAAGATTGTTTTCAGTGCTTTTGACTTGTGATGAGGTATTAAAGTAATTGTTCTTTTGTGTCCAAGCCCCCCTCCACTCAAATCAGTGTTTCTTCTTGTTCCTAGTGTGTTGTTTGAATGATGTATATGCAGAGTTTGACACTAGAAGCAAGTTTTCACATTTATCTGCTGAAAGTGGAAAGTTTCTCTGTGCTCATTGAAAAGCTGATTTTGAAGTCAGTCCTGGTCTAGTATGCAACTTGTACAGTGTGATGTAGAAACTTGAAGCCACCAGTGCAGAGATTTTGGTATTATTAATGAGGTAGAAGAAGTAGATGACTTTTTAGGTATTTTAATGTGGACATTTTTCAGACTATATACTATATACCTGTCTTATTACATGTCTGGAGCTGGTCTTTAAGGACATAACTTTTGAACTTTTGACACTTTGTTTTACTTCAATAAAAATTGTAATAGTTTTGCTAGTAATGGAGCATTTTCTATTGTGGTATTATTGCTGTTACTTCTTCTACCACTGGTTATGACAGAAAAAATAAGGAATATGAAATATTAAGACTAAATGTAAAACACATGCTTATGGCAAATCCGATGGAATACGTGTCCCACAAATACTGCTTACATGCATGCATCAATAAGACAATAATACCGTGAAAGGGTAAATTTTTCAAAGTTAGTACTTTTACTTTTGGCATTGAATATTTTTTAGTATAAAACTATGTACTTAATTCTAATCTTGAGCTTTTCCAGTTAATGGGGTCATTTTTCTTTTTAGTGTGGCTGTTGCTACTTTAGAACAGACATATTTAGTGTACTGATAATTGTGCATAAAACACATGTTTTTCAGATTTAATATTGATGAAAATTAGTTTTTTCTTAGAAACAAATAATATAATATTGATATTAATAACAATAAAAATACCAAACAACATTCATATTTACCTTGATAAAATTTCTATAATCAGTAAACTAGTAGTTAGAAATAGTGTAATGCAGTGTATGAATCAGTGCACTAAACACAAGTAGGGAGGAAACCTGGTATCTCCCACGCTTATTAGCATCTCACAAAGGCAGAGTTGTTTCAAGTTTCAGAAAAATGCATTCATTTGCGAAACAATGAATAACTTTCTGATTTCATCACCACCTACAGTGGAGCCCAGAGCTGCTTTAACAAACATTTATATTAACACAATAAAGTGCATTCAAGCCAGCCAGGTGAGTTTTTTAACACTGTGAGGTGATTCTTTGGTTGTTATTACTGAAGAGTAGGTGAAATAATTTAAGCATACAGGCGGAGGGAGTTGGGTTACAGCTTGCAGTTTCATACAGAAACTTTAATAAATGGAGTAAATAAGGAAATCAGAAGGGCCTTAACCCTGAGCCTGAGGCCGCACCGTTCATCCAGTAAACTCCAGTGGAGTGGTTGTAATGAGGAGCAGCGGAGCTCAAACAGCCCCCTGTGGTCCGTTCCTCTCTGATCACCACGCAGAAGTAATTGACTTTTACTTAGGAGGTCATTAGAGGAGATAAGTGCAGTGCTGCTGAGCCTCTCCTCACCTTTAACCCTTTGATGTCTGCATACCAGGGGCCTCCACATCCAAACAAGCCATGTGGCCTTCTGCCTTTGGCAGAGACTGTGAGATTCAGCGCCTAAGAGGGCCTCGCCGTGAGGACTGAGACGCCGCTTCTCACCTCTGTGTAAACGTGATCAGGCCGGGTGCAGTAACACACTCTCTAGGCCCAGAAATGATTAATGGAGGTGAACTTTTCTTCTGCAGGGCTGAGAAGGTCCAACTATGGAAAACACATCCTGCAGATGCTGAGGACACAGGTCATGTCCTCAGATTTGGGGGTTTTACTCGGTGAAGTTTATGTTCTGCAATTAAAAGCATACACAGGGTGTGTATTTTGCAAGCTGCTTTCAGTCATTTGTGACACAGTATATTTAGATTTGAGGACTTTTATGCCAACAAAAAATCAAATAAAAGAAAAAACACCACGGGAGGGTATTCCATTAACAGTCCAAGTTTTAACTTAGTAAAGGTTTACAGCTGGTAAAGTATACACTCATGTAGTAAAACTCAATTGCAAACTGGCTCATGTGGCGCTGGTTAAAACTAATTCATATACTGTTTCACACTTTAAGCCAACGCTTAACAGCCATCTTGACTTGTGACCCCTTAAGTCACACATACATTGCAGCTTTGTGGATTTGAGTCGTAGGCAGTGACTTATTCCCTCTCTGGCTGCTGGATTTGAAGGATTTTTACAGCCAGAGGAAATACCAAATGCTGTTATTCAAAAGAAAGAATTTGAGAAAAGTCAGAAAAAGTTATTAGCAGTAGTGATTTTGCGTGACAACATGGGCTTTCTTTCTTTCTTTTAACATCCTAGGACCCCTTAGATTTATCTATGGACCCCCTATTGGGGGTCTTTACCCCCAAGGTTTGAACCACTTGTTTAAACTATGACCATGGATTTATATATTATATATTATATTATATATATTTATATATTTTATTTACATCTTTCCTACTTTATACTGCAACTGCTGCATAACTATTCCTCTGGTCAAATAATTGAACAGCAAAAGTATAAAGCCTTAAAAAGTGCCAGCACCTTGGATACAGGAACTGAGTCAAATGTACGTATGATGAGCTGTTGTTACAGTCATTGTGATAACTTTGGGTTTGGACATTAATCACACTTTACTTTTCTCTTTTAAATTTGACTTTCACCTAAATTTCTGCAGGTTTTTGCTCTCTGTATTTATTTTAAAAACTTCAACCAAGTCCCTCAGGCTGAAATAGAGAGAGCCACACCTTACTGCCTGTTTTCTTCTCTTCATTATGCAGTTAGTTCAGTACAGTATGATCCTTATTGGCATTGATAAGAACAGTTGGTTAACAATGCTGGGCCCCTCTATGACCCTGCAGGTCAGAGTCTTTAATCCACTGACTCAACTCTACACTGTAACATTGGCTTCAAGTGTATTCACTATAGAGCTAACATGTATATATGCAAAGCAACAAATCAGCATCTGCAGGTAAGACGAATAAGCAAATGCATGCACTGTGACTGCATATTACCATGTGTTTGTGCTGAGAAAACTCAGTGATTGACTCATCAAAGTTTGATTTTCTTCAGTCAAGAAAAAATCAGCCAGTGCAGTGATAATGTTTCTGTCTGTTTCCAGTCAAAATAAAGTTGCTTTTTTTTTCCTAAAATCAAGTTTGTCATTTATTTTTGTTCCACAGCAGCAGCCTGTGTTGTCTCTGATGTTTCTAGATACAGATGCCCATCCCTGGAAAGAGCATTAAAACGTTTATTTCTACTGGAAACAGGTTGAAATGTTATTTCCAGATGTTTACTAAAATAAATTCAGTGTAATGCAACAATTTATTTTAACTCAATTTTTTTTTTTTTAATGCATAACATTAAAAATTCTAAGTAAAACAAACTCATTTTTGGAAGTTAAAAAAAGATTCTTGATGAAGCAGCTTTTACTAGTAATTTTAATCGATACTAACTTAGTTTTGTAAGTTACTAAAACATTCCTGATTAAGTAGCCTACTTATTACTACGTATTTTTGTTTTTACAGTACAAATAAAAATTACAAAATTAATTCACTTAAAATTACCAAAGCTACTTGATCAATTTACAATATTAAGTAGGTTTTACTTAAAATGTTCAGTTTTTGAGTTAAATTAACTATCTGGTTTTACAGTGTGCTAAAATGAGTTTTAGAACAGAAATTCTAAATCTGAAACAAATGCTGAAAGTTATTCGTATAAAATGAACCACAGCAGTTAGGTGTTCCGTTAAATAATCTGTAGGTGATTTACACCCATCAGTGGTGGAGTAGTACATTTACTAAAGAACTATTTTAATTTCGTTCTACATTTCAGAGGGAAATATTGCACTTTTTATTGCACTACATTTATCTGACAGCTGTATCTTATAAACAAATGCAGTAAAATATGGTACGTTTGTCTTTCTCAAAGATATGGACAGTATGTAGAAGATTACAGACTGGCTCTGTGATACAATTTATGTTTTATGATATAATCTGACATTATATGCAGATCTGGATACATTTCCATTAACTTGTATAGCATTGGATCTTTCTGAATACAGCTTTTTTTTGCCCAGTGTAACAAAAGATTATACATTTGTATTGCTTCAACAGTGAATGAGTTCAAATTATCCCCACTACATCAAAATGATGCTCCAGTAGAATGAGTGCAGTTTACTCTTAATGAACTACAGCATAATGTAGCTAATTTGTCTAAAGTGAAAAATATGGATACTTGTTATTAAGTGAAAAATAAAATGGCCCTAGAGATGAATAATGCAGGTTTCTTTGGACGTTATGTCTACGCAGGACCCCCCTGCCGCCTGCCTTCGCCATGCACTGATGAAGGTGATGAGAAAAGAGCTCTTATCTGATGCATAAGGACTTTATTTGATCATTAAGCGGAACAGCATCATTAATTAGTGATCCAGGGAGTGTGAGAGCTTTCACTTATCTCCTCTATTGTGCAGCCTCTGTCTATAAATCTGTGGTTAAATAGAACCGAGGCTCATTTAACAGTAATGCGCGAACCAACGAGCCAAATGGGATCAAAACAATGTAACAGAATTAGAACAAAACTACAGTTTCCTCAGTTTGACTCCTGCAGAGAGGTTTTTATTTGAACAAAACTGTATTTGGAGTCTTTGTTGTGTAGAGAAAAGAAGAAAAAACTTTATTTACAACATCTGCTCTTTTGGGCCAATTTAAATACAGCCGATGTGACATCAGACATCATATTTACCATTTAATGTATAAATTCAGATATCTGAAGGCAATATCACTATTCTTTCTCTACTTCTTATTTAATTTAAAATTACATTTTCTTGTCGCTAAATATCGTGCAACATTTACAGAAAATCTGAACTTTATTGACAGTAAAATCAATGCAATGTCAATAAAGAACTGAACGGCATACACCTGTTGCACAATCCTGCCTGCAAACCCACAACCTCCAGCTCTTGCAGAGGTTCTGTGTGTAAGTCATTATTGGATAAATAGAATATTAGTAATTTCATCGAAATGTTAAGCGTATGTACAAAAATAAAAATAAAAATAAAAACTTTTCACTGCTTGGTTTCGTTTCATTTTCATTTTGAATTTAAAACCAAAGTGGAGACTCACCTGGAAAAGATTTATTTTTTAAATTCTCCTTCCGCAGCTCTGGGGGTCCTGGCGGAGGTCGGGGTGTGGGAGTCCGCTGTGATGAGTTAATGAGACGGCCGGAGCGGCAGCATGTTCCTCCGCTGCTGCGGCCGAACTCCGGTGTGAGCTCAGAGAGGAGGTCAGGCAGAGAGAGAGGAAGGCACGGCGGTGTGAGCTGGTGTGGCTGTGCTGGTGTCGGGGACGCCTCTCCGCTCCACTGTAGTGCGCTCTGAGCGGCAGCCGCCTCTTTATCTGCAGCGCGGAGTCCGACTCCTACTGGCGCGTCACTCAGCCAGCCCACATACAACACAACACAACAGGACATTACTGCCGCTGCTGCTATATGATCCTGCGGTGTGAAGTCCTGCTGTATGTGGTCGGGTTTGATGGCGCACACTGGGGCTGGAGTGGGGACATGGAGCAGTGCGCACACGCTGCTTGAAATGAATCCAAAAGGTTTGACAGTTGGATGTAGAGTATTTACTTTTTTATTATAAAAAAGACAAGCCAACAATTGTCCTGTCATTTAACTGTAAAGAAAACTCCATTAAAAGGCTCATGAAGACCAGTGTTCCCACTGACTATCACTTCTATCTGTGCATGTGTAACAGTCCACTAAGACACTGGTTCCCCTAACTTTTTCCTTAAGGGACACATTTCCTATCATTTAGTAAACTGGTTCAGTGACATTATAGATATTTCATATTATATTTAAACTGTACAATGAACCCAAACAGTGAACTCAGTAACTGCAGGAAGCTTGTGTAAAACAAGGATGAATTTTGAGCAGATAATTTCCTGTTTAGGGAACTCTTTATACAACTCTGTCTGTATTAGGTATTTTTTATTTATTTAACAATCATACAGAATTAATAAGCTTCTTTTTTGACAAATTCAGTGTGTTGGTTTTTTTTGTCCCTGACGCTTGGCCATTGTTCTATTAGACAAAATTACATTTACTGTTCTTCACAGAAGTTAACCATATGCTGAGATATCGGCCTACAGAGTATATTTTTAAAGTTTTCTTACACCCCTTAAAATCAAGACAGCCTTGTGACCCCCCTTGAAGCCTTGGCAACCCCTAGTGGTGGTCCAGACCCCCTTGGTTAGGAGCCACTGCTCTAAGATGTAGTATCTTTGGGCATTGGTCAGTGTGTCAGCAGAGGTCAGTCTATCAGATGAGGGTTTGTGATCCAGTTTGCAGAGCTGGACTGCTGGTTCTATTGTTGAAAGTGTGAAAAATAGGCTTATTTGGCAAATACTGTGTGATGTCTATGCATAAAGTGATATTGTAAAAATGGTTACTTTTTATTTATATTCATAAAAAGACTGATTGATCACCAGGGTGGGAATTTTTTATCTCATCTTCTCATCTCAACTTCATCTGATATTGGATATTAATTGTCTACCTTAAAGCCACACGTTTTTATTTTAAGATACAGGTAAGATGTGAATGAAAGAACTCTACTTAAGTGGTCAAATAATCCTATGTAATCTTAGTGGAACTAAACTTTCACTATGAGCTTATTTAGGCTTCACTACAAAAATACAGATAGATTGTTTGGAAATTCTGAACAGATGATGAAAAAGCATATGTAATTCTATCAAGTGTTAACCACATTCCACATGTAATGAAATGTCATATTTCACATCAATTGAATTGCTTCACTAGTTATCACAACCTTTGTATGAAAACAAATAATGAACCAAAGTCTACTTGTCTGTGAGTGAGAATTTCGATTAGATCATTAAAAAGTTTGAAAATTTGTCAGAAAAAGTATGCATAAATGTGCAGAACAGAATTATATATATATATATATATATATATACACACTTGTTATCTCTTTAATAATCTTGGGCCCCTACAGATTTGTCTTGGGATCCTTTTTGGGGGAACCCGACCCCCAGGTTAGGAACTACCACATTAAACTATAATGCACAGTGTGTAGTCGGTGTCAGTGTGTAAAAGACAGATCATAGCTTGTGGTGTTCTTGTAGTGAGCAGCAGACTCCATGTGCCGAGGAGGAAAACCACATTTGAGTGAACAAAATCTGCCCCCTGCTGGAGAACCTCTGAGGTTCTGACACTGATTGTCAAAGCATTATCTCTAACTGTGGTCTTCATTGGATGCCAAAGCGCAGATATGAGTGCAATGAAGGAAGCAACCCGATTCTGCATCATGAGTGAAAACTGCATGAAGTGGATTATCTTGGTTTATTGTGCCCTGCTCATAGATTACGAGCATCTGGCAGCATTTGTTCATATATTGCCAGACTCAAGTCATAAGGAGTCAGCACTTGTCACAAACCATTCGACTCTTCTTGTACACCCTAAAGACAGGACCCCCCCCTTCACTGGAGCGGTGTATGACATCATCATGACATCACACGTGACAGCTGCGGGGAACATTACATTAGTGAAACAGCGAGGACCCTGGACGAGATGCTGAATGGACTCCCAGGAAGAGACCACATCAGCTCTCTGTGAACGCCAGAGCAAAACCACTCCCAGCATCCACTGGGAAGAAGTCAAAGGTCATCAAACAGGAGTCAGTGGACGGCTGGAGAAAGCTCAAGGAGGACATGTGCATCTCATACCAGAAACCAAGGGTGGAGGTTTGATTTGGAAAGTGCTGAGGACAGAAATTTGGCAGAGAGACCATGGGTACTCCCCAAGAAAATGTAGGAATTTTTTCACTGCATTTCCTGCAATTCTAAACGATAGACCTTATTCACAGCAGTCACTTTGACATGAAATAGTAAGGGTAAACACAGCAGCGCTTACCAATGATACTAATTAATGTTTCATTTAGTGTAGCAGAGCCTTCCCAGTGAGCCAACATGCACAATAGCAGCACCATGACTCTGTTTGACCTCAATGGAAACATAATTAGTATCACTGGTAACACCTGTGTTTACCCTACTTTTTCATGTCAAGATGGCTGCTGTGAAAAAGGTCTCTACAGGCCTACTATGAAGTATCAAAATGAATAGCACAAAATAACCCTACAGCACACCCTGTCACCATATTTAGTTTGCTGACTTATCTGTTAATGTTAGCTAAATGTACTACTACTTGTTGTGATGTACTGCATTTGGTAACACAATTTAATATATAATAACTTTATTTATATAGTTTACAAAGGGCTTTGACAGGCAAAAAAAAAGATAGCAGTGATACACAAAATATAATGAAATACTGAATACACCTTCATTGCACAAGAACTTAGTATCATTGTCTGGCTGTCCCTCTCCTTCATTCCTACTGACTCCAGTTGTACCATCGTGTTTGAGCAGCCTCTGCCATCAGTGTATGAATGAATGTGTCCAGTGTTCCAATCACTTGCACAACTCATTTGCTCATCAAGCTCCTGCGCAGTATAAAACCCCGCCTCTTCTCTCCAGTCTTAATTCACTAACGTGGTACAGAAGCTACGGCTCTAATTTTTGATCATTTCTTGTGTTGCCTTTTTTTCTCCTGCCTGACACTGTGTCTCCTGTGCTTTAGGTTAATTCCTCCCTAGATCTCATTTGTCTTTCTGCCTGCCCTGCTCCACCATCAAACGCTAGAACACTGGTTTCCAACCTGGGGGTCAGGACCCCCACTAGGGGTCGCCAAAGCTTCACAGCGCGTCACTAGGCCTTCTTGATTTTAAGGGGTGTAAGAAAACTTACACCGTAGGCCTATATCTCAGCATTTCAAACACTGAATTTGTCAAAGAATTTGAACTATTAAATTAAATCAATATTTCTACTAAATCTGCTGTGAATCTTCCACTAACTGTTGTCCGTGTTCTGCTCTTGGGTTTGAAAGATTACTAAACAAAACACTTGCATATAAGCAGGGTTCGGGGCAAAGCAAACTGGCAGTTTAAATGAGCAAAGGTGCCACACGTGATTGTTTCTTTGATGGATAGGTTCACAGTTTTTATCTTAAAGGTCCAGTGTGTAGGATTTAGTGCCATCTATTGGTGTAGTTGCAGATCGCAACTCTGTCGCTTCACCCTCCCCTTTTAAGTGTATAGAAGAAACTACAGTGGCTGCAAAAAAAGGAAGAAAAAAAGAGAATGGCCCTATCTAGAGCCAGTGTCTGGTTTGTCTGTTCTAGGCTATTCATATACCTATGGATATTATATTCCATTTCTGCCAATACATCCTCCTCAATGTTACACACTGGACCTTTAAAGTAATATCACATGCCCACTATTGCTCTCTGGAATCATCCTTCCTTTTCAGACCGGGGAAGAGGCAATCCAACAGGGAAGCTTGGGAATTGGAGGATTGCCGGTTCCAGTCCAGCTTGGACCAGTCGGTACAAAGTATGGTAGCTGGAGAGATGCCGCACCTCAAGGTTGCTTGTGGCACTGTGCTACACGGCAGCCTCATCATTCTGACAATTGATCCCTGTCTATAGGTCATGTGTGTGTATTTTGGGCTTATGTGTGTAAATGAAAAGAAAATAACAACCGAGTAAAAAAAGGCTTGAAACTTTTCCATAGTATCAACTTCCCTGAAGTTTTTATGTACAGTAATCCGTGCTCAGCACCCCTGCAATTTGTTGCGCTGGAGTGTTTCATCACTTTTTGGATCACAGTAACTGTCACTGTGGAAACAGCATGATTAGATTAGAGAGCAGCGCACCCAACACTTCAAACTGAGAGGTCCTTAGGCGAGTCATTGAGACTCCCCAAATTTAAATTATGTTTCATCACATTGTTGCAGAAAATCGCTGTTAGGAAAGGAAATGATGAGAATGTCATGACATCATATTCGTGTTCTTTGTGCATGTTTCTGTATCCAAGTGGATGTATGTTTAAATATCAAGTTATATTCCAATCAAGGAGGAAATTTAATAACAATCTTTGCTGGGTTACATGGACTGTTATTCACAGTGCAGTGCAGTGCTATGTGATCCAATCCACAGTGCACACCACGAAATCAGACATTACCAAAGTGATCCAACACCTCTCTGAAACAGTCTTTGCATCAGACTGTACAGAAACTCTGGGTCCACCCCACTATGTATTAAGTCCTGTTCATTTGACCCATTTGACCCATTTGTGCCCAGATTTGTTTCACATTTGTTTTGTCACACGGCCGGAAAGAGATGTTAAAGTATGTATTCAAGGACAAGAACAATTTAGGATTTTAGAATAAAGTCACTAGCCTTTCCTAAAGTTAACACTGCTTGGCAACAGCTGCGCATGTAGCTAATTGCTCCATCGAATTTGCT